CCACAGGATCAGAATCCTGGGCTATATCTCTGATATGCACTTTCAAGTATAGTAGCCAGGAAAAAGGCATGTTTTAAAATCAGGCTGTCTTGAGCATTTATTTCTTTCCCATTGTTATCTTCCATGTCTTCCTCATAATTTTGGAATATATGGGTGTACAAACTCCTGTATTCATACTCTCTATAGGAATATGTCTTGCTGTTTCATGTTCAATCTTCACCATCCTCTGTGGATTGGACAGAAACCCTCTCTCTCGGGAGTTTCTCTTTTTCCTGTGTCCATACCAAGTTTTTAAGATTCTCAGGTCTTTGGACCTTGTTCATCGCATTAAAATCTCCTGTGTCTTTTTCTAATAATTTTTTTCTAATGCATTTGTCTGTTTCCTGAGTGCTTTGGCTCTTAGGGTAAAATTAGCTAGAAATCCTGTCAGCAAATTTGCCTCAATCACTTGGAAAGAGATGGGTTCACCAAGTGGATCACATGTTCTGAATAATCCAGCTAAAATTCTTGAGCCTCTTAAGTCCCATGTTCCTTCTGCCCACTGAACATGAGATTAGGTGTGATAACAGGTATCTTGCAGGTTATATGTATCCTCTAATAAGAGCCAAACAGAACTGTTTCCAGGAGATACACTCCCTTGGGCTGCACTTTTCTCTTTTTTCTCTCTGAATTATAATCTCTCAAACCAAATGCTATAGTCTGAATATAAGGTTTTCCCAAAACACTCATGTGTGAGATAATGTAAGAAGGCTTAGAGATGGAACAATTGAGTTAGGACAGCCTTAACATTTTCAACGCATTAATTTCCTGATAGGATTAACTAAGTAGTAACTATAGGCTGACATGGTGGGCCCCTGGGGGTGTACCTTTGGAATACATATTATGTCTCTGCTGAGCAGACCTCTCTCTGTACTCCCTGATGTGATGTATTGAACTGCTTCTCTCCACCACACCCTTTTGACATGATGTTAAGCATCACCTTGAGCCCTGAGGAATGGAGAAGGCTGTCTATGAAATGAGATCTCTGAAACTGTGAGCCCTTAAATAAACTTTTCCTCCTGTATATTTGTTCTTGTAAAGTCTTTGGTCACAGCAGTGAAAAGCTGACTGAAATGCTGAAAAATTCTCTGGAAACCTTTGTGAACATATGCCTTATAAGTCATCTGTTATAGATCTTCCAGGTCCATGATAAAGGTGCTCTCTGTACAGATTTGCACAAACAATAACACTGTCATTTCTAAGAGAATGAGATTCTCCTTTGTCTTGAATGTGGCAACCCTTTTTTGTCCTCTATCCTTTCAATGAGAATGTAACTCATCCAATCCCACATCCCATTGGAAAACGAGATTGTGGTTCTTGGAGGAGCTTTCAAAAATTCAGAGAATAATATAGTTAAAATCTATTGAGTTCCTCTGACAAGTCAAACACTTGAATGAACGCTTTATATAGTTCAGTTGTCAATCAGATAGAAATGCCTCATGGTTCATGTCTTGTATGATGCCCTCTTCTGCCTTCTAGCCAATAGAATGTTGCAAAAACAGAGCGGGATTTTTCAAAAATGATAAATTTTGAATAAGCAAAGTAAGGATCATCTCTGTTGAGATGCACTTCATTGGAAAAAGCCCTTAAAAGACAGATTGGGCCTTTACAAGAGAGATTAGGCAAATATTTTTCTTGTTTGGTGTCTAGAATAAGTAAGATGCCATGTTGTGAGAGGAACTATGGAGAGGACTATGTGGCAAGAAACTACAGGCCGCCTCCAGGAGCTGAGAACAATGAAGACAAAAGCCAGAAAGAAAATGGGAACTTCAGTCCTATGATCCAAGGAACTGAATTCTGCCTGCATTACACTTGCATGCAGCTTATTATTCCAGTTAATCCTACATGAGAAAATAACTCAGTTCAAACCTGCATCGCAGGATTGTGAGACCCTGAGAAGAGGACTCAGTCAAGCAGGGCTTTTTACTAATTGGCTGAGGGTTCTTTTGATCAATATGTATAGAAATTGGAAAAATACAAAGTTCAGCTCTCTTAGTGATATCAGCTATAAGACATGGATGCCAAGAGCTCTCAACCCTTACTGTTGCAACTATCCTAGTTGCTCTCAGCAGCTGTACTTAGCAACTTGCCACAGCACTCCACAGCCAGAGATAACCATTCCTAGCAGCAAATGAAGCCAGAAGCTAACAGCTCTCAGCAGCACCACTGTTGGTCTCTCAGCAGCTCTTGACTGAGAGAGTGTGTGTTTCAGTCTCTCTGGCTGCACAGTATTCTGCATTAGCAACCCTTGGTATTATCAGATTTTAGTACAACCAGTTAGCTTGCTGTATTAGTATGAGAAATTATAAATAGTCAAAATAAAACCATCCAAAAAAAAGCTTTGGGGGGTTTATACTGCACCACAGTGGGGTGAGGTATTGGGCAGTGCAGTGCTAGAGCTCCCCAATTAGCCCAGTAGGACTGAAAGGAATACTGCATATATATACAAAAGGGGCAGAGCCAACTATATGCACAGTCTCTTGCCTGTTGACCACAGCTCTCTGCACTGTAGGGCCAGGCTATGCAGGCATCCTAGGCTCACCTGTTCGACTGTCTGTCATAGGTGGAAGAGATGCTGTTTATATACCAGAGTGGCAACATCTGAAGCAGTGATAAGGTAGGCAGAGACATCCAGAGTGGTAGTAGGTCAGAATAGTCTGGGGTGGTAACATGGTCTGAAGCGTTGCAACTAAAGTGAAGTGCCCTGTAGACATCTTGAGACACCTGGACCAGCTATAGTTGTCATTATTACACCTGGACTGGACTGCTAAAGAAGCAGTCACTTTATTGGCAACTCCCATTGTTAATATTGTAGTGGTGTGAATGAAGTCAAGCTGCTTCTGCCTCCAATTTAATTTCAGAAGCAGTGGTTTTGATCAGATCCCTTTTAGATGAGGAGTCTGAGGGGATGAATGACATCATCAGCCCCTTAATCCTGCCTGGCTGAGTGCAGTGATCATGGCATGAATCATGGCAGATAACTGTCAGTCTAGTGGCCAGGCACTGGAGCTGGCAGTGGTACCATTGGAACACAGTGAGGCCACAGCAACCACAAACACTTGCAGATGTCTTTACTCATCCCTCAGGGATAGATGAGGCCATTGCCTGGTTTTGCAGGTAAAATGGTCCCAGGTCTGATCCTTATTCTACTTCCATCTTGTCCAGCAAGCTCAGGATGGTAGCAGCTGCAATGACAGTGTACCAGGGAGAGACTTGACAGCTGTCAGTTGAACAGCTGATCCAGAGATGACCTGCATCACAAATTATCTGGCAGATTTGGCTATTTAAAAGGAAAGAATAGAAAAATATATTCAGAACATTCTAAGTGCAATGATTAGAGATAAAGATACTTGTATTAATGATGATCTGGTAACAAAGGACTTCACTTGTTATGTATTACCCACAGATAATAAAATCCTTGATTATCTGGAAGAAAGCAAGATTCAATACAAGATAACTTTCTTCTCCAGCAAATTCAATCCAGCACTTACTATTTGGCCAAAGTTTTTACAAGGAGAGACCTTCTCTTGGGGAAGATCTGGCCTCCTATTCTGTCTCAGTGCCTAGACTCATTAAACACATTTTGATTGATGTGTGTTGTTTGAAGGTAATAATTTTGTGCTAATTTGTTACACAGTGATACAAAAATAACATATGTTTTAGGTAAGGAAAAGTTCAATGCTGTTCTAGCAAATACTGAAAATCGTGGGAGCATATTTGGAATCAGGCTTGAAGCTGGAAGATAGAAGAATATTGAGGAACATGACAGAGACATTTTAAAGAACCTTAAATGGGCGATTAGTAGAAACCTGGACTCAGGATGCTGAAGTGAGTGCTCAGAAGAAAGTATGGAACATGTCATCAGAACAAAAGGAAAAATATCCTTATTGTATGGTGGCAGAAAGCCTGGCAAAACTATGTCCTGGAGTTATATACATACCAGAACCTTTAAGTGATAAAATTGCTTATATATATAAGGAATTTCCAAAGTGTTGAAGTGACTCCTGATTTCTTCTTGCTGACAATAATAAAATATAAGTGGAGTGTTAAACTGAGGAAATGATTCTCAAACAAAGAGAAACCAGACCTCTGTGATGTTGGAATTTCTCATGAACTCCAAAAGGCAAACACATTAGAATCAAGAGTTTCAGTCATGATTGCAGTATATGATTGTATGATCTTTTTCTAAAAATAAGCAGGTACACAAATTACTCTTTCAAAAAATAAGATTTGCCTCTCAAATACCAATCAAACTAGAAGTCCCTGAGGAAGCTTTAGGACACTCTCTCTTTCCATCTTTTTTGATGGCTGGTGTGGGTTGTAATTATTTAAGGAACAATTTGAAAACTTCTTTGGATAGACTTTCTTTTTCATATGTTTTCCCTGAAGCCTCAGTTCCTCTAGCATCTGTTCAGCTGAGCTATTGGTACAAAATTTATTTTAATTCTTGGAGAAAAGGAAAAAAAGTCTCATCTGATCTTTGCATTGGCTCAGTGTTGGGATATTCTCTTAATGCCTAGTCAGACCCTTTACCATTCCGACTCTTCACTTCCTGCATTTCCTGAGCCTAAATATCAGTCAGAAGTGTCATCTTCAGTCTTCTCAAGCATTTACTTGGTATATACTCTGCTGTGGGAATGCATGTGGCTTTATCATTTCCTGTATTAGGAAGCATTCAAAGTTCTACTTCCCATTATATTCTCTCTCCCTAGTTTTTTCTATCAGGTTTTTAACCCATCTACAGTTTTCCTCATTTTCTTTTTTCACAGGAAATAAGGTTAACACATTTTCCTTGTAATATTTTTATGGAATATCCTTAAAAAGTCATTTTTATGACCTAAGAGAACCCAAAGCTAAGGGGAAGAAAAAGAAAAAGAGTTTCTTTGACAGTTCCTCAAATGGCACCAGATGGGTTGAACAGATGAAATTCATGAAAAATAAGATTTTCTCTGGTCTTTTAGATTTAGGGACCAAGATTCTACTCTGGGAATAAAGACTGCTCTCTTCAAGACCTCTGCTGAACAGGGGAGGACTCTGAACCAAGAGTAAGTAAAAATGCCACAGCATTCCCCTACCACTTTTATGTTGCCTTTTTATTGTTTCAGCATTCACCTTGCAATCATAAGCCTTTGGCTAATTTCCAGGGTTCCAGCAAAGATGATTCTGATAGTTTCACTTGTTTGTCCAATGTTTCATTGAAAATGTAGAGCACTGGAGCCACTCACTTATCACATAAAATGTGACTCCTGTATGATTTATTTCATAATATACATAATCTGGTATTGAACTATATGTTTAAATCATATGGAGAAGATTTGAAAGTATGAAGTCTGATTGTAAGTTACTACAGAGTGACATAAATCGAGGGCTGCTCTTTGGAGCATAGACAAAGAAATACTAAAATAGGATGAATTTGATGGGCAAACAAAAGGAGGAGAGTTTTGGTAAACAGATGATGAGTGCAATTTGGGACATCTTGTTTTAATCTACCTTCAAAGGGAGTTCTGGCTGGTGAAGACTGCATCCATGTCTTAGGCTGATCACTAGACTGACTCTCAAAATGCATACTGTCATTCCTTCATTCAAGACATTCAATTTTCTTCACCCCTTTCCCTTACTGGCCAACAACAACAACCCCCAAAATTGAATGTCCTATGTCCTTAACTCCCGTTTTATTCTGTGTAGGCCAAAGGTGTATCAATCATTAGAGACACAATGAAAACATTGTATATATTCTCCTACATGCAGCTATTAGGCTGGGTTGTTTCCTTATTGTTACAGTGTTCTTTATAATTAATGAATTGCTAGTTTTTTTTTATCAGTTACATAAGGACTTTTGCCAAATCTTTCTGAAGTGATTACTGATTTTCAATTTCTCCATGCAATACTATAAATTTCTGTTTTATTTTACAATAGATTATTTTTGAATAATTTTTATATTCCAAAACAAAACAGAGCAGAAGGTAGAGAGATTTCTTATCTACCACTTTTTCCTCTACTGTATAGCCATGTTACCAACATCTGCCACCAGAATGGTACTTTTTTAAACACTGATGAATCTACACTGACACATCAATATCACCTCAAATCCATAGTTTACATTATTGTTAACTTTTGGTGTTGTACATTCTTTTGAGTTTTGACACATGTTTAATGATATGCATCCACACTTATATAATCATACAGAATGCTTTTCCTACCCCAAAAATTCTCTGTACTTCACCAGTTCATCCTTCCATCCCAATTAAACTCTGGAAATATACTTTTACTATTTTCATACTTTGACTTGTCCCAGAAAATTGTGTTATTAGAACCATATAGTAAATAGTATTTTACGGTTGACTTTCTTCACTGAGTACTACACATGTAAGGGTCCTATACAACTTTTCATTTTTTTCATAATAGATTTTATATTAGTGCTGAATTACATCCCATCATCTACATATGCCACAATGTATTTACCCATCTAACTACTGAATAAAATCTTTTGTTATCTTTAAGTTTTTGCAATTGTAAATAAATCTTCCACAAACATCTGTGTACAGGTTTTTTTATGGATATGGTTTCAACTCCTCTGTATGAATATCAAGGATTTTTACTGCTGAGCTCTACATATTTTTCTTTTGATGGCCCATTAGTCCTTCCTGGATGTTTAAAAATCTGTGGGTGACATTTTCCTTCCTCTGAGTGAAGGATGTGGGGAAAATGACACCTAAGACAGTATGTGGTCTGGGGTAAAGAAGAGAAAAGAAAAAAACAAAAAATTTAATCCTTCCCATCAGTCATTTCCCTGCAGCAAGACAGACCCTGGAAAGCAGATAGCCATTAACCTGAGAATATCAATCTTGTCCTCATGACAATACAATGACCCTGGGAGGGCAAGGCAAGCACTGGACCCTGACCTCTAACCTCCATGCCTGCCCTGTAAAAACACTGCCTAACAGAAACTGTGACCAGTAAAAACAAGTTCCAGATGTTCACAACCTACCCCTGGCCAGTTGAAGTTTTCGCAGACTAAATGTAGTCTATGTAAACCCATACACCTCCCATAATGGGTCCCATTTTCCATCCAGGAAGTGTGCCCAGAAGCTCAGATTCCTGTCTGCACTGCTGTATAAAGGTTTTCCTGAATTCATGAGGTCTGTAACTGTTTCAGTCATTTTGTGCTTGCACTGAAGAATGCAATATTTTATATCTTTTACTGTGCATTTTCTAGTGGTGAATCCTCTTATTTTTTGTTTTCAGTGTTCACTTTGTACCATAATTCTTCAAGATTATATTATTTTGTATAGAAATTGTCTGTTATTTTCTTTCAGAGCATTAAAGACTCCATTCTCTTCTTTTGGCTTCCACTAGAGCTGCACAGAAGTCAGCTCTCTTTACCAGGTTTTTGAACAACTCATTATTTCTATCTTTTTGTCATCTTATTTCTTATTTTATGTCATTTTTTAAAGTTTCTAATAATTCTGAAAATAAATTCCTTTTATGTTTCTTGCATTTTTAAAGGTCTTAAATTTTTTCTTTAACATGTAATGGGAAATTTCATTCATTTTTTAAAATACCTCTTAGTTGTTGATGGATCTTTATTTTATTTATTTATACATGGTGCTGAGAATCAAACCCAGTGACTCACACATGCTAGGCAAGTGCTCTACCACTGAGCCACAAACCCACAAACTCATTCATTATTTATTCAAATTATTTACCTCCTTTTTCAGATAGATACTTTCCACTACTGAAGAAGCTTTTTGATGGTCTAAAGATTTGGGCTTAAATTTTTATTTATTGGAAATTTTAATGATGTTGTAGAATATAGGAAGCACAAGATGAAATGAGTATGATATTCTGTTAGTCCACTTTGCATCGTGGTAACAGAATACGTGGGATGGGATAATTTATGAGGAATGGAAACTTATTAGCTCAGAGTTTTGGAGGCAGGAAATTTCAAGATCAAGTTTCCAGCTTCTGAGAAGCAATTTCTTGCTGGGTAATCACACAGCTGAAAGCAGAAGAAAAAGAAGTAAATAGGGACTTATTAACTGTTTATAATGTCATTAATGACACCTGCGAGGGCACCACCCTCTTGACCTTAAATTTCCCAAAGGCTCCACTTCACAATACCATTACAAAATATCTGAATTCCAACATGGGTTCTGGAGGTGACAAATATTCAAATGATAGCATTCTACACTCAGCCTCTCAAACTCATGCCCCTATCACATATAAAATACATTCATCCCCTCTTAATAATTTAAAAATTCTTTATTAATTTTCTTATTTATATATGACAGTGGAATCCATTACAATTCACATTACACATATAGAGCACAATTTTTCTTATACCTGGTTGTATACAAAGTATATTCACACCACTTAGTGTCTTCATACATGTACTTAGGTTAATGATGTCCATCACATTCCATCATCATTGCTAATCCCCTGCCCCTGTCCCTTGCCCTCCAACCCCTCTGCCCTATCTAGAGTTCATCTATTCCTCCATGCTCCCTCTCCCTACCCCACTATGAATCAGCCTCCTTATATCAGAGAAAACATTCACCATTTTTTTGGGGGGATTGGTTAATTTTTCACTGATATACAGAAATGCCTTTGATTTATGGATGTTGATTTTACATCCTGCAAATTCACCTAGCATTATCTTCTATAACTCCATCCATTTAGCTAGAAATGCCATGATTTTATTCTCTTTTATTACTGAGTAATATTCCATTGTGTGTATATGCCACATTTTTTAATTGATTCATCTACTGAAGGGCATCTAGATTGGTTCCACAGTTTAACTATCGTAAATTGTGCTGCTATAAACATTGATGTGGGTGTGTCCCTATAGTTTGCTGTTTTTAAGTCTTTTGGGTATAGATTGAGGAAAGGGATAGCTGGGTCAAATGGTGGTTCCTTTCCCATATTTCCAAAGAATCTCCATACTGCTTTCCATATTGGCTGCACCAATTTGAGTCCCACCAGCAATGTATGAGTGTACCTTTTTCCCCACATTCTCGCCAACACTTATTGTTGTTTGTCTTCATAATAGCTGCCATTCTGACTGGAGTGAGATGTTATCTTAGAGTAGTTTTAGTTTGCATTTCTCTAATAGCTAGACATGATGAACATTTTTTTCATATATTTTTTGATTGATTGTATATCGTCTTCTGAGAAGTGTCTGTTCAGGTCTTTGGCCCATTTGTTGATTGGGTTATTTGTTTTTTTGGTGCTTAGCTTTTTGAGTTCTTTATATACCCTAGAGACTAGTGCTCTATCTGATGTGTGAGGGGTAAAAATTTGCTCCCAGGATGTAGGCTCTCTGTTCACCTCACAGATTGTTTCTTTTGCTGAGAAGAAACCTTTTAATTAGTTTGATTCCATCCCATTTATTGATTCTTGGTTTTAATTCTTGCACTATTGGAGTCTTATTAAGGAAGTTGGGCTCGCCATGCACAAAAGTTAACTCAAAATGGATCAAGGAGCTTGATATCAAATCAGAGACTCTGAATCTGATAGAAGAAAAAGTTGGCTCCAATCTACATATTGTGGGGTCGGGCTCCAAATTCCTTAATAGGACACCCATAGCACAAGAGATAATAACAAGAATCAACAAATGGGACTTACTTAAACTAAAAAGTTTTTTTTCTCAGCAAGAGAAGCAATAAGAGAGGTAAATAGGGAGCCTACATCATGGGAACAAATTTTTACTCCTCACACTTCAGATAGAGCCCTAATATCCAGTGTATACAAAGAACTCAAAAAATTAAACAATAAGATAACAAATAACCCAATCAACAAATGGGCCAAGGACCTGAACAGACACTTCTCAGAGGAGGACATACAATCAATCAACAAGTACATGAAAAAATGCTCACCATCTCTAGCTGTCAGAGAAATGTAAATCAAAACCACCCTAAGATACCATCTCACTCCAGTAAGATTGGCAGCCATTATGAAGTCAAACAACAACAAGTGCTGGTGAGGATGTGGGGAAAAGGGTACACTTGTTCATTGCTGGTGGGGCTGCAAATTGGTGCGGCCAATT